CTTGGGTTCAAATCTCAGCTCTACATGTGCTGTGTGACCGCTATCAAATTATCCGATGGGGCGCCTGGGTAGCTCAGTAAGCTAAGCGGCTAGACTTCAGCTCAGGTCATGATCTCACAGTTCATGGGTTCGAGCCCCATGTCAGGCTCTGTGCTGAAAGCTCAGAGCCTGGAGCCTGCTTTGGATTCTGTGTCTCCCTCTCTCTCTCTGACCCTCCCCCGCACACTCTGTGTGTGTGTCTCTCTCTCAAAAATAAATAAACATTAATAATTTTTAAAAAGTTATCTGACTATTCTGCACTTCAAATCTTCACTTTTTTTAATGTATATTTATTTTAGAGAGAGAGAACATGCGAGCATGGGAGGGGAACAGAGAGAGGGGAACAGAGGATTTGAAGCAGGCTCTGTGCTAATAGCAGAGACCCTGATGTGGGCCTCGAACTCACGAACTGTGAGATCATAACCTGAGCTAAAGTCAGATGTTCAACTGACTGAGCCACCCAGGCGCCCCCAAATCTTCAACTTAAAATAGAAATAATTAATAGTATCTCCATATGGATTGGTTGTGAGAACTAAGTCAGTCAATCCATAAAAAGTGCTGAGATACTTTAGATGCCTGACACATAATAAGCCTTTAATAAATGGTTTTATTATTTTTATCTTTAGTATTATTATTGTACCTCTCATCACACTCTACTATAATAATTCTTCCTACTAAACATGTCTTACTGTCTTTATAACCGATGAACTAACCTAGTCGGGCACAAAGTAGGTGCTTAATAAGTATTGAAGGAAGGATAAAAAGATTGGCTGCTCCAGTTTTGTGGCTTGGTTTCCTGTGAGAAAATTGGATTATGAAGGAATAAAACCAAATTTAAGACTTCTGAATATCTTCTTTTTTTAATGTTTTATTTATTTTTGAGACAGAGAGAGACAGAGCATGAGAGGGGGAGGGGCAGAAAAATAGTAAGACACAGAGTCCCAAACGGGCTCCAGGCTCTGAGCTGTCAGCACAGAGCCTGACATGGGGCTCGAACCCACAAACATGAGATCATGACCTGAGCCAAAGTCGGAGGCTTAACGACTGAGCCACCCACGTGCCCTTCCGAATATCTTATTGACTGAATATCTAAGTGTATACTGTTCACATTCTGTGAGCAACAGCTGGAGAGGAATGGCCAAGAAAGGTGCCTTGAGCTAGACTGACTTGAACAAGAACTGAGCTATTTTCATTTCTTTATTCACTGACTCTTGGGTCCAGAAGGGACCAAGTCCCCTAAAGTTGCCATTACCTTCAGTCGCCATCCCTCAGCACCACTTCATACTTTCTATTTGCTTCCTTCCCACTACTACGTTCCCTCAAAAATGTATAAACTGAAACCCAGAAAGCAAAAGGAGCTCTGAAGGAAAAGGGGAAGGGGTGGAGAAGGGCTAGCACCTCCCTCCATCCTTTGCCGAGATCAAAGTCAGCATTTTGACTGGAAGGCCAGCTGGCCTCTTTCATCCCCTCTCCACCTGTCTGGGAATAGGATTGCTGCTTGCCCTCCACTTCAGGGCTGGAGGGCAGTTTCAGGGTGGGGCCTCGAGCTATTTCTAGTGCTGGCCAAATCCCTCCACCCCAATATCTACTTTGCCTTCTGTGATCAAATTTCTTTTCCACCTCTCCAGTAAGTAACAAGTGGCCGGAGCATAGGGCAGAAAAGTCTGAGAGAAGTCAGTTTCTCCACAGGCCCTAGGCGGAGCTAATAGTTTAAGCAAGTGGAGAGGACGCTGGGGCTGCTGGACTTGGTCTAGCAAGGGGAACAGTTCTTCTTTCTGCATAGCAGGCCCAAGTGCACGGCCCAACATCCCCCAGGGTGGGTGAGGCACCGTTTAGGCAAGGGCCTCTTGCCCCAGGAGAAGAGAATTCAGTTACTGAAGTCCTACTATGTTCTGGGCCCTATGCTAAATCCTTTTGTTTATATTATCTCTGTGGCTTGTAATGACCCACCCAGGTCAGCATTTACTATCATCCCTCTGGTAGCAATGACAAAAGAGAGATTAAGCAGCTCGCCTGAGGCACATGACTGAATCCTGATAGAACCTCCAGCTCTGTCCGACTCTAAAGCCAGTGCTCTTTCCACCTCATCATGCTGCCTCAAGAGTCCAGAAAAGCTGTTAATGCTATGAGCTGCCTTTTTGCATTATTCCACAGAATTAACTGAAGAGCCAGCTAAATCTTTTGTGAATGAATTTCATTCAACATAACTTTAAAATAAAGGTTTAAGGAGAACCTTTGATGACTTGAGCTCAGTTGTACAGTTCTGCAAAAAGTATGTGACAGGAGTTTCTGCCTTTGCAGAGTTCATAGTCTAGTAGAAAAGAGTTAACAAGTGCCAAAATGCATGCACAATATAACACAGAAAGAGAGAAATACCATGAGAGAGCCAGAGAGGGGAATAGAGCCTTAGATACAGCCACTGCCTTCCTAGTGCCTGTTACTTCCCTTGGTCCCAAACAGAGTCCCCCAAGGCTGGGACCAGCCAGCTGCCATGTCGAACTGAATCACAAAACAGGGGCATTCCTAAATCATCTGTGTCCCCTAACCTAGCAAATAAGCAGAACCTGGGAATAATATTTCATCGGCAAAGGTGGAGAGATGTTTAGGAACCCAGACTTGGTTATTACCTACAGCCAGCTTGCTTCAGCAAAGAATGGTTAATTCATGGGTTAGTTAAAGCCAGGTGCTAATGCAGACAGAGCAGGAGATTCAGTGCCAGTCATGCTGAGTTCTGTCACATATGAGTTAGTTCTGGCACCGGCTGACCATCTTGCAACTGTGTGCTGCTCTTGGTCAAAGAGGGAACTAAAGCAGGAGACTGTGGGTAACAATGTAGTAGGCATTCACAATGAGAACATGTTGTTCCAAACACTCAGCCCTAAACAGGCAGCTCTATCTTGCTGGCAGAGGATCAGCAGTGTTATCTTCTTAGATGGAGGCAGAATGTTCTCTCCTCCTATACCTCCGTAAACACCCTGCCTCAGATCTGTTTAGCACTTTGATGCTAGGGGTTGGGGTCCTCTCCCAGAGTATCTAATTCATTGCAGTTGCCTTTCTTCTATTGCTCTCTCTAAACTCCTCTTTCCATACCTGTGAAATGAGTATACTACTTGACACCCTTTGATGGAAAAGAGGTCACCTAAGGAGAGAGGGCAACACCTGTTTGAAGCCTTCTCTTCCAGAGCCAAGCCCACAAGATCCTTGAATTTGGACTGAGGAGCCCTGCTTAGCTAAAAATACAGACCTCTTGAGGTTTTTTTTTTTTTTATCATAATGGGGGGTTAGTTTCTAGATGTATTTCCCAAGTAATCCCTCTTGTCTCTTCCATATATGGGTTTGGTAAAGCTGATCTCCACTCAAGGCTTCTCCTCTCTCCAGAACACAGGGCTTCAGGCATCAGAGAGCAATGACTCCAGCAGGAAAGAACAAGGCCCCTCTTTCCTTTCTATGTCAGTCCATTAAAAAAAAAAAAAAAACAGTATAATAAACATTGAGGCAGTCTTGGGCATTTTCCTTTTAATTAAATGTATAGAGTTTTCCATCATGGATGTGCAAAAGCCGTCTGCCAATTAGATTATTCCCATGGATTCCACAAGGATACTGTTAGAATCTTTAGAGATCATTCCACAACTTCTCTCATGGTGCCAGATATACATCCAGACTCTTAACAAGGATAATTTGATGGCAATGGCAATAACCTTGTGTTTTCTAAATGACATCAAATTCATGACATATATCCAGATCCCTTTTTTCATGCCCTCTCTACCATTTTTTCAATGGAATTTGAATCTCCCTGTTTTACTTACTAGCGAACAATATCACTATTGAAAGCACATAATGTTAAGGACCATATGCTCTCTCTCCAGAGAGTAAGCACAAATACTATTTCTGTTAAAAACTAAACAGAAATAGTAGTTTTGCATACTTCCCATTCAAAGACTTATCCCAATTGAATGATTTCTTTTGTCGCGGAGTGTTTGTACCCAAGCGGGCCCTAATAGAGAAGCTGAATCAGATATTGTAACTTACCAAAGGTCAAGTGAGCTAGAAATAGAATCCAAAAACCTTTATTTTGATTCCCTGAATTTAAAAACAAATAAACTCTACTACAAAGAAAGAAAAACTTGAGAAACTAGGCTTGCCTGACATTCCTGGGTCAGGGAATTCAACCAAAGCTATTCAGACAGCTAGCTGCCATAGTCTGAGGATCAAGTAGGTAAATAAGACATAGGTGCTGCCTGCCTTCAAGGAGCTGACAATCCAGTGCAGGGAGATCAGGTCACTGCTGAAAAATCTCTATCTAATGCAGAATGGGTTTATGAACACCTAGAGGATCCCAGAGAAAGTTTTGCCCATCCCTCATAGTCCCAGCCAGCACAGTGACCCACATATCACATATAATATGCAGGCAAGCACTATTTGTTGAACAGGGGCCATAAGAAAGGTACCAAAAGAACACTCTGGGGGTTGGTGGAAAATAAGGGACAGCTTTGTGAAGGAGGTGACATTTGAGCTGTGCCTGGAAGCATAGGGAGGTTTTTCACAGGCAGCAGGAATTGGAGGAGGGCCTTTGCAGCCCTAACAAAGATCAATGGCAAAGATCCTAAGGATCGGGGGACAAAGCATGGTGTGATTTGGGAGAGCCCAGAGCAGGCCACTGTGGCTAGAGAACAGGGGGCAGGGAGAGTTAAGGCTGGAGAGAAAAGTTGGGACCTGAGCAGAAAGAACCTGGAACAGCAAGCTAAATAATTTAGCAATGAACTGTCACTGGAGATTTTGAACAAGAGGAATGGCACCACCGGAACAGGGCTTCCTACTGCCTCATCCTGCCTGGTCCACCTGGGCCTCCTTTGCCTTATCGTCAGTGGTGGTTTTCTTTTGATTTTTCTGTGTGTATGTGGTTTGGTTTGGAGGTTTTCTGTGGTTTAGTTTGTTTTTTGGCCTTTCCCTTTTCCTTACAGTTTTTCACAGCATATGGTCCTGATTATGTGTTGGAAATCACGCCAAGCTGCCGGCCAGACCGCAATGAGCCCCACCGAGTCCAGCAAATCCTCAACTACATCAAAGGTGAGCACCACCCCTCCTCAGGAGTCCTGTCCTCCTCCTTCCACTCAGCCTGTGGTGGCACATCAGTGGGGATTTCCCCAAATACCATTTGTCTTTTGGTGGCTAATCATTTCACTGACTTAGAAGGGAAACATCTTCTTGGCCTGATAGCTTGTAGCTGAAATTCCACACTGGCCACTCTGACTGGGATTGTCATTTGGCCAGCTAATGTCACCTTCAAGGGGACAAAAAGTTTATCTTTAGGCACCTCCAGTGGAAAGCTAATTCTAAAGTGTGCCCTGGAACCTTTTCCTTTTAAAAGAGCAACAGTAAAACCCTCTTTAAGATAATGGAAGTTCAAGCCAATTCAGACTTGGGATGGGGGGAGGAGGGGCTCAAAGACATTGTATTCCAGTGTAGTTCCTTGATCCAAGATGGCCTTGAGAGACTATGGGCTCACAGTGGATAGTCAGGATTCTGGTGCCCTGAGAATAGGCTCCCCAGTCTTACCCAGAGCACTGGAGATGGGGCTACTCCCCTTTCCGGCCCTTCCCTTAGGCTGGCCTACAATTATTCTGGCTTCTGAGCAGAGGGAAATGGCAGTCACCAGGTTATTATCCTCTTGATCACACTATCCACTAGCTGTTTGGGGATGCTGCCCTTAGCTTTCCAGTAGAGCCCCCACCCCTTCAAACCCCAGCTGCTACTCCACAACTCAATTCCCTTTATCTACAATATTGTAAAATCGTTTGGGTACCCATTTTCCTGGTTAATTGAATTTGTATGTAGGTGTGCATGTTGTTTGGATCCTAATTATTTGCAGAGTTAAAAGGCTAAAGGCATCATGTTGCCCATCTTGGAGAATGAGGCTCCCATGTTTATTCATATAACGACCAAGATAGCAGCAGTCCTCCTACCTTTGACTCCCTCGTTAGAATAGAATCCAGCATGAAAGGGGGGGCCTGTTCTGTGCCAGAGTTAGTCTGAGGGAACACATTGTGTCCTAGGGGTCTTTGCTGAGGGTTATATTAAGGCCCCATCCTCTAGTAGAGCCCAGCCTGTGACAACAGCCAAGTCCTTAGGCAGAGACTCCACATCCCACGCTCCTTTGGCCAGAGAAAATTTTCAAAGCTCACAAAGTCATAGACTCGTAAGATTATGATCACACCAATACTTATTGCCTCTCTTGGGTGTCCCAAAGCCCTCAGCCTTCTCTTGACTGGTTTCAAGCCACCTCCCTCCAGCCTCTCAGTGACTACCGACCCCACAAGCCCTCACTCCCTAACCAAATCCTCCTCCATTGTACAATCTTTAAGGCTTTTAAACTCTTTCAATTCCTGGCCCTTTGCCAGTCCTTCTCACTGTGCTGCAGTCTCATTAACACTAGTGCTCCCACCCTAGTTTCCTGCTGCCCCTCACAGACCCAGGACAACTTTCCTATTTCCTTTGGGACCAATTCTGGACCAACTTCTCTTACCCCTCTTCCTCCAACCTTGCCACTTTCCCCCCGTCCAGGCTCTAAATCCTGGTAGAGCACAGACAAAGCAATAGAAGCAGAGAAACTAAACAAGTCTCTGCAGTTTCTTGTTCACACCTACGTATGTGCAGATATCTGTATGCCCTCATGCTTTCCTGCACACGTACCCAGACACATATCTCCAGAGTGGTGACATCTTGCTATTGAGGAAATGGAAATGACAAGCGAGAGAAGACTTAAGGAAGGTAATTCAAAGGGAAGAGAATTAGGAAAGGGAAGAAACCCAAAAGAGGATAAATTTTTAAAAGACTTGAGATAAAAGAGTAATTTGAGGGTTGAGGAAAAATAATAGAAAATCGTAGAGGACATGTAAGTTACATTTAAGTCAAGATTTTAAAAGATCCTAACAGGTTAAAGCAATATTCTGATTATAGCACAATGAAATTAAACTGGGAGAAAATGTATAGACCAGGAATTAGGTCATCAAAAGCATTGGACACATACAAGATAGGAAGATGTTGCTCAGCAGCATTTTGTCTGAAAGAGCTAGGGATTTTAGTCAACACAGTCAGTGTGAGTCACCAGGACAAGGTGGCCTCCAAGATGTTGATGCAATATCAACCTCACTTTAAAAGGGCTCTAGACGGGGGCGCCTGGGTGGTTTAGTCGGTTAAGCGTCCGACTTTTGCTTAGGTCATGATCTCGCGGTTCGTGGGTTCGAGCCCCGCGTCGGGCTCTGTGCTGACTGCCAGCCCAGAGCCTGGAGCCTGTTTCAGAGTCTGTGACTCCCTCTCTCTCTGACCCTCCCTGCTCGCTCTGTCTCTCTCTCTCTCTCTCTCCTAGAAATAAATAAAAACATTTAAAAAAATAATAAAAGGGCTCTAGACAAATAGGAGCATGCTACTAGTCAATTGAGATGGGGAAAGGAGACCAGGGGTCCAAGAGGTATGGTTGGAGGAACTGGGGCTTTTGGAGAAAAGACCCAGGGGGATGTGGTCTTTACCTCATATCTCTGAAAGGCTGTCACAGTGCACAGGGCATAGACAGAGGCTATGTGGTCACAGAACTAAGGCCCATGGGTAGATATTATAAAAAGGCAAATTCTTATTCAATAGAAGGAAGAATTTTCTAACATTTAGCGGTGTCCAAAATGGAGCAGGCCATCCAAAAAGAAATGAGGTCTCTATTGGCAGAAGCATACAAGTAAAGGCTAGACAATCACTTGGCTGTCATATAATACAAGGGCTCCTGCATTGGGGGAGGGTGATTATACTAGATTATTGTTAAGGTTCCTTCCAATCCTAAGATCCTATGATGCTGTATGTTAAAAATGAGAAAATAGAAAAACAACAAAAAATATGATGAGAGTGCTGGGGTTGGTAGATGAGTCACAGTTGTCGAGGAGGGGGGCAGTAATACTATTTACAAGAAAGAATTGATGACAAGAAAAGAAATTAAATGGCTGAGAGTGAGTGGGGAGGAGCCAGGGAGGGCAGACAGCAAGTAGAGTGGCTATAGAATACTAGGAATATTCAGATTTCCCATTTACCCATCTCTTTCTAATTGGCAATATCTTGTATTCTAACCATGCAAATGAGCAGAGCACACAAGTCCAGAACCAAAAACAAATTCAGCTAAATCTAGAAGAAATGAGGCTAGAAAGAAGTCTAAATGTTGCTAAAAATGGCCAGGCTAACCTGCTATACTGAGACTGTGCCCCTCCAGCCTGGTGACGCATGCTGCCATCAGATAGTGTGTTGCCATGACAATGGTCAGTGTGGAAAAGCTGCTGAATTTTCCACATTCTGAAAGATTTTCCTGAACCTGCCTACATGACTGTCATTTGTTCTTGCACATAAAAACCTCAGCAAGGATGGCCATTTCTCGCTGTGTCTCTTGCCCTCCTTACCCCATATTAAAAACAAAGGAGAGGGGAGGCATGGATTGATTTGGGAAGGTGGGATAGCAATGATGGAGTGGATGGATTAAGCTCCACTCTACGGGAGGGAGTTTAGCCAGCATGTCTCGTTGAATTTGTTCAGCCTTTGAGCTTGGGGTTTTTTTTCTCTTTCTTGCCACATCTCTTAGAAGCACAAAAGATGGCATTTTTCACCTACTGAAGATCAAACCTAGGGAGGCTCATCTTATAGAGATGCATTTCATATGCCACAGGTTGACTGGACAGACAGGCAAATTTAAGACTCACCTTATCCCATCTTTACTGCCCATTAGTCTTTCCAAGAGGGGGGAAAAAACAGACAAAAATAAAACCTTGGAGAGTCAATGCAAGCTGTTAGCTTCATACAGGAAAAAAGCTATGTTTTGCTCTAACAAATTGCTCTTCTCATGCCAGTGAATCTCAAAGATATGTGCCAGTGTTCACAAGGAAGTGTGGATCGCTCAGCCTAGCTCATGCCCACTACTATAAAATCATCTTTACACCATCTTCATGTTCTCAAACTTGTTTGCCTTTCCTCTGAGTGATGTACTCCAGAGGAGCTGGCTCACACTGAACCTTCTAGAGTTGGACTGGTGCTGATGTGATCAATCCCCAGGGGTAGCTAGCTCCCCAGACCTGCCTGGCTCTATATGAGGAAACAAGGGTAGAGTTTTCTAGTCCCTGGTATGGATGACATTTGAATCAAGTAAAGGTCCCTAGGGAGCCACAAGATTCTTATTGCAGCCCAGTCCCAACCTTTTGTGGAGGAGTACAGAGGGAGAGCAAACTATACATGTGTGAGTATGGAACTGGAGGTTATAACTCACTTGCTCTGAGTTCCCAGACTGTACTCCAAGTTTGTCTGGAACAGAAAAAGGAGACAAATAGGACCAGGAGGTATGGAGGAGGAGGAGGAAGGGGAAGACACAAAAGAGAAGAGAAGGCCTTGTCCACATTTGCCTTTCCTGACCCTTAATGAAGGAGGCTTAGTTCGCATCCTCTACAGTGAGGGTTGGGGAGATGGATCAGCCAACTGATGTGGATGTAGGGGAGAAACAACATAGGTGAAATAAAAGAACAGTAGCTACTATTTATTTTACAGATGAGGCAACTAAGTCTCAGAGAGGATATGTGACTTGGCCAAGGTCACATTTGTTCATTGATTCAACAAGCAACTACTAAGTGCCACACACTGTGCTAATAGATGGTAGACCAGTCTCTTTCAACTGGGGCTTTAGAGTAAGGCTGTTTGGCCTTTCCAGTGCCCCTCGTCTCTTTGCATTGTTGCCCTGCTCAGTCTATTCATCATACTTCATTTTTCCATTCCCATTTTTTAAACCGCCTCTACCCCTGCCTTTTCCAATTGCCCCTAGTAAACCTTTCCTACCCCTCACTGCATATCTGGCTACTTCCATGTGGCTGAATCGAAGCACCTGAAATCTGATGTATCCTTGGAAATCAGCCATGGGCAACACTTGAAATTCTGGCCTCTGACCCAGGCCTTTTAGCCTTCTCTCACCCCCTGCCCCTGGCATGCTCCCATCACCCTACCATACTATCATTGAATCTTTTTACTCCATTCTGAGCTGAATAGAGGAGTAAAAG